AAAGGCTAAGAAGTGGAAAAATTACTTCCCTGCAAAATAATTTGTTTCTCTGCTAAGTGCTAACACTCTGCACTTTAAGACCTAGGTGTGCAGTATGTCTGTCGGTTCTGACAATAAGGGGAGCCTTTCTCTGTAAGATTACAGCTCTGTGTCACAGGGGGATGGGAAATATCCCAGTAAACCACTCCGAGTTGCGTATTTGAATATACCGAGAAGTAGGAAGCAAAAGCCAGGTAGTAGGAAGACATCCTACGCTTCTCAAAACGGTGGGGAAATGCAGTTCTCAGTTGTGCATGCTATTCCCATGCTGAAAATCTGTAGAGGCTTAGTACCCACTGCTCACTGAACGCAGCCGTCTTTCATTCCATAGGTGCACGGAAGGAATTTACTGTCCATTGATTACGACCGGAACATACGCACAGAAAAAATCTATGATGATCACCGGAAGTTTACACTGAGGATAATTTACGATCAGCTAGGACGGCCTTTCCTTTGGCTACCTAGCAGTGGCCTGGCTGCTGTCAACGTGTCGTATTTCTTCAACGGGCGCCTGGCTGGGCTTCAGCGTGGTGCCATGAGTGAAAGAACAGATATTGATAAGCAAGGCAGGATCACCTCGCGCATGTTTGCAGATGGGAAAGTTTGGAGCTACACCTATCTAGAAAAAGTAGGTGATGTTGTTTGACCTTCTGACATTAGCTACAGAGAGCCAAAGTACTATTCGTCTTCATTTTTAGCTCTGTAAGTAACAGGCAGACAAACAAATTATCTAAAATTTGACGTATTCCAGCTGTTAAGAATCCCTTTGTACCTGGTTGCAAAATTCCTTGGTTTTCAATTAGTCAGCTGAATTTGACTAATTTATAATGGGAAATACTTCGTTTGTGGTTTGTGTCTTTTGATAGTTTCCCAAAAGCGGTTAAGCTGCTACATAATGGCATAAACTAACACAATGAATTGTTTTTAATTAAGACCAAAAATGCATGACTAAACCTGACAAAAGGTTCAGGTAGAAACAGGTAATTCATCTCTAATCCTTATTTATTAAATGAAAATATGCTCATGCATTTTTACGTAGCCTAATTAAGACACTTCAATCATAAAAGTGTCTTAAATACTTCAAAAGAGCTTATTATTTTCCCTTTCTGTTTTTTGAATCTGTTGTTTTAAGCAAACCAGAGCTGATGTTCTCTGCTTAGTTTCTCACATATTTCGCCGTAATAGCTGTGAATTACAACTGCTAGCAGAAAGATAAACAAGTCATTTATCTAACTCCTCTGCATCCCTCAGAAAAGAAAAAGGGAAAAAAAAAAAAAAAAGGTCCTACCAAAGGGAGGGTCAGTAATAGGTTGCTAACCTACACTTTCTCTGGAGTGTCAGCATATTGATTTCCAAGTAGCAGATCCTCTCGTCTGGCAATCTGACAATATTCTTGAGCAGCTTTGTGCCCCTAACTGATATATCCAATTCCCTCTCTCCTCATTTAACATTAGTGCCTCTCCAGTAAACTTTTCTTTACTGCCCTCCCAGAGGTCGTGTGCTGAAAGCTAGTAACTGCCATTAATTTTTGTTCCCTCTAGTCGATGGTACTCCTGCTTCAGAGTCAGCGACAGTACATCTTCGAGTATGATTCTTCAGACCGACTTCATGCTGTTACCATGCCTAGCGTTGCTCGGCACAGCATGTCCACTCACACCTCTATTGGCTACATTAGAAATATTTATAATCCTCCTGAAAGCAATGCATCGGTGATTTTTGATTACAGTGATGATGGTAGGATTTTGAAAACATCATTTTTAGGTACTGGCCGACAAGTCTTCTACAAATATGGAAAGCTATCTAAATTATCTGAAATTGTTTATGACAGCACTGCAGTTACTTTTGGATATGATGAAACTACAGGTGTCCTAAAAATGGTAAATTTGCAAAGTGGAGGATTTTCCTGTACGATCCGCTATCGCAAAATTGGTCCTCTCGTTGACAAACAAATCTACAGATTCTCTGAAGAAGGTATGGTCAATGCAAGGTTCGATTATACATATCATGATAATAGCTTTCGAATCGCAAGCATCAAACCCATAATAAGTGAGACGCCTCTTCCAGTTGATCTTTACCGTTACGATGAGATTTCTGGCAAAGTAGAGCATTTTGGCAAATTTGGAGTTATTTATTATGATATAAATCAAATTATTACTACAGCAGTTATGACACTGAGTAAGCACTTTGATACCCATGGGCGCATTAAAGAAGTTCAGTATGAAATGTTCAGATCCTTGATGTACTGGATGACTGTACAATACGACAGCATGGGAAGGGTGACTAAAAGAGAACTGAAGCTCGGTCCATACGCCAACACAACCAAGTATACCTATGATTACGATGGAGACGGGCAACTGCAAAGCGTAGCAGTAAATGATAGGCCAACCTGGCGGTACAGTTACGATCTGAATGGAAACCTTCACCTCTTGAATCCTGGCAACAGTGTCCGACTGATGCCTCTGCGCTATGACCTAAGAGACAGGATTACGCGCTTAGGTGACATCCCATACAAAATTGATGATGATGGATTCCTGTGTCAGCGAGGCTCAGATGTGTTTGAGTACAACTCCAAGGGACTGTTAACAAGAGCTTACAACAAAGCAAATGGGTGGAGTGTTCAGTACCGTTACGATGGACTTGGCCGAAGGGCTTCCTGTAAGACTAACCTGGGGCACCATCTACAGTACTTTTATGCTGATCTTCACAATCCAACAAGGGTAACTCATGTCTACAATCATTCCAATTCAGAAATTACCTCTTTGTACTATGATCTGCAAGGCCACCTCTTTGCAATGGAGAGTAGCAGTGGAGAAGAATATTACGTTGCCTCCGATAACACCGGCACTCCATTAGCTGTGTTCAGCATCAATGGCCTCATGATCAAACAGCTTCAGTACACAGCATATGGGGAGATTTATTACGACTCTAACCCTGATTTCCAGCTGGTTATTGGGTTCCATGGAGGGCTGTATGATCCTTTAACCAAACTTGTCCATTTTACCCAAAGGGACTATGATGTCCTGGCTGGACGCTGGACATCTCCTGATTACACCATGTGGAAAAACATCGGTAAAGAACCCGCCCCTTTCAATCTGTACATGTTCAAGAGTAACAACCCTCTCAGCAATGAACTGGATCTAAAAAATTATGTAACAGGTGAGACTCCATTACATTTCTTATAAATAACAGTGCAGTTTGGAAGTTGGTTTGGGAAATAAATCAGACTTCTCCTTACTAGCCATTTGCTGAATCTTCCCATCGAGGTTGGGCCATTTTCCTTTTTGTGCTGTGAACAGGGCTGGCTAGTCCTGATTCTTTGATACTGCTCCTCCCCGAATGAAGGGCCCTAAATGAGAAGCCACAGTGAATTAAGGCTGGGGCGGGGCGGGGGGGGGGATTTTGCCTACATACTCAATTTCAGCACAGCCATAGTGCTCTTCCTGTTGAACTAGCACTGTGTGAAGATGTGTTCATTCTAGTTTTATATAAAGAAAAGTCACCTACAAGAATTGCTGGCAGGTTAGCTGCAGAACTGGGAACCAGAACTGCTCAGCATCTCTTCCCTTCAGGGCCACTTTCAAAATTAACTGCTGACTGAGCCAATGGGCACATTATGAATTAGCACCAAGAATGGATTTAATTAAACCCCTTTTTCCCTTTTAACTTCTAAAATGCAAACAGTCTTTAGTCTTTAAAACAAAAATCTTGATGTTTTTAAAAATTATTTCCTCCTGAAAGACTAAGAAATTCTATGGAATGTGTAGAGCTGAAAAACAATAAAGCAGTTTTGATCACGTATGTTAGAATTGGGCAAAACTTGTAACCTCTTCTTAATTAGTAATAATTTTTCACTTAGTAAGATCAAACAGTACTTGAACTAGCTGCTGGCAATTTTGAAAAAGAAAGGTAATTAATATGTCTTCAGGAAAAGCTTTTTTCAGAATTGAATGTGCAGTATACAATAATTAGAGCAGTGGTATAATTTTTAAAAAGGAGCTATCTTAATTTTAGCAGTAATTTGAATTTCAAGAAAAGTGGATGTTTCCTTCAAAGAGAATCACAGCAAGTTTCACTAATCTGCTGGGACCTAACCGTGTGTGTGATGCACCATAGGTTCTGCTGTAGCTACCTTGCAATTTGAAGATAGTGCAATTTGTATCTGATAGCGTGAAAATATTGGTGATTAAAATTACCTTGGGATCAAATTTTGTTGTCCTAAATTCAACAAAATTCTTATTTCTATCCACCACTGTTTGATTTAGATTTTCTCTGTCATCTTATGATATTTTGCTACGGTCTGAAATCACATGAATTTAATTTATCCAACCACTGGATGAAATTTAGGAAGATATATTGTATTTTGTGTAACACACACCTTGTAGCCTGTAAAAATACTTCATTGGGGATGAAAATACCTGTTGCTGTGTAGACTAAACAGATTACCTTGCACAAGAAGTGATTACAGTGGCACCTTTGCTGTCATAGTTTAAAAAAACCCCAAACAGAAAACAAAAAAAATACTTCCCCACCCCAATCCAGTCTTACTGTTAGCCCCTGGCACTGTTGAATTCGCAGGTTTTGCTGAAAAGGAGTTCCTGTAGCCAGCGCAGCGCTGCAATGCACTTTAGCTAAGCGAAATAGTGACTACTTTGTATGTAGGTCCTCCTCTTTTTTTTTTTTTTGTGGCATTAGAGCAACTGAGGTGAGTTGCTCAGGAGATACCATTATACCACAAAATAAATTGAAGCCTTAAAAAGGAGCAGTAGCCCTGTGCTGTCCAAACCTAGAGGAAAAATACAGTAGGCGGTATGTGGTGGGAGATACATACAAATATCTTTGTAGAAGCAAGCATTTCACTACTAATTTTAGTGTCAGAATGGCTAAGAAAAGAAGACTTTTCCTGTCAAATGTCCACAACGCCAGAAGTATTACACTTTTTACGACGTGACGTTACCTCTTCTAAAAATTTTGGGAAAACAGGCTTTGCAACGGGCAGCAGGTGCGGTGTGGGGGCCGAGTGTGTCCCGGAGGTCTGCGCGCGCAGGCGGCGCTCTGCAGGCCCTCCGCGTGCCGGTGGGCAGCGAGCAGAGCCCGCTGGCACCTCCCTGCTGCAGACACCGTGCGCTGGGTGGCCTGCGTTCAGCCAGCGGCCCTTGCGTCCAGAGTGCCTTCCCACCGTCGTGTCTCCTCTCGGACACGGGGTTCGGCTCACACGAGGAAGTGCCAACAGCAGGATGAGGAGCCGTGGCCGGCCCGCGAGGGCAGACGGCCGCTGGAGAAGACAGGAGAGATTTTTAAACAGAAACGGTCACGGACATAGGTCCAACCCGGTGAGAAGTGCCCGTGCGCCCACACGGCTGCTCCTCTCCATGGCAGCCAGGAAAGAGAAGCAGGAAACAGAAATTTGAAATGGGGTCATGGGCTTTTTCTTTTGGTTAAAAGGATCATTTTTATAACTAAAATACACCATTAGTTCTTAATACCTGCTGAGTGAGAATTACTGTTACAAATTTAGTTACTTAGCTTTTTCAGCTAGCTGGGAAGACAAGAGTTTGACTGGTTGAACCCAGAGCTGGAACTTCGCGAAGCTCACCCCAGAGCTGAGCTCTGACCCTCCCATGCAGCTCTGCTTTTCCACACTAGACCTGGAGGGATGGGGAGGATATTCATGGTGCCTAAATTTAGACATCTGAATTGCAAGGCTACCTTCTCACTGCTTTTAATGGAGCCTCCCGAGACCTGATGACAGCTCATAGAAGTAGGACATAGAAGAGAAGCCATGTATTTTCCCAAAGGACTGTGCAGATGTTTTCGGGAGTACCAACCTAATAAATCATTTTACAATACAGTTTATAGGTTACGGTAGCCACAGCAGAAGGTGTCTGAGATGGAGCAAGTATTGCCTACAGTAAAATGTTTGGATAATCCATGTGCTGTAATGGAAGAAGAATTAAAGAAGTGGTGTATCTGTGATGAACTATTTAGGGTAAATTTAAAGCAATATTTCCTGTGCCTGTTCATGGTGGATTGCTACAGTTCTGTAAAGTGTTATGCTGTAATACAAATTATGAGTTCCACTGCTACTTGAAATTAAGGAGGTCAAGGATGGAGTTCCTAATTTTTTTTTATTTCTTGTATATATTACACACATTTATTTCTCACTCGCCTGCTTACTTTTGATTTTTAGATGTCAAAAGCTGGTTGGTGATGTTTGGGTTTCAGCTTAGCAACATTATTCCTGGTTTTCCTAGAGCAAAAATGTACTTTGTGTCACCGCCATACGAGTTGTCTGAGAGTCAAGCATGTGAAAATGGACAGGTAGGCAGAAATACAAAGTTACTTTTCATGATAAATTTGCCCCACTCTTATGAATAGAACTGCTGTTTCTTCTGTGGTTACAGCAGAAGGCCAAGTATTTATTTCAGTGTAAAATGAAGTGGGTATAGCTAGATTTTATACTAATGAACATATGCCTTTCTTGCCAGCCTTCGTTGTTATCATAATTACAATGTCATTAGATTGTCTTTTATTGAGTTCTTCCTTGATTAACAAGTTGTAACTCGATTAACTTGATTAGCAATGACAAAGGGAGACTTTGTCAGGGTAATTTATCATCTCTTGTACCTTTGGTAAAACCATCCTCATAACACATGTGTTGCAATAAACTTAGGTTTGTACTTGCTGTACTGCTAAGAAATGGTTGTTTCTCACCCTGCAATAGGATTTCTCATCATTTTTTGTTTGATGCTTTTCATAGTTAGAGGCTTTGGGTTGCTACTCCAGTTACTACAGTTAACTTGAGTTACAGCTTTTGTACTTACTTGTGAGGTTAAGGGTGGAAAATGGTACATGCTTTCAACCTTTATAATAAATTCCAACCCATTTAATAAACTTAAAAAAAGAGTACTAGGCCAATTCCAGACTTAGTCTTTGCTAGGCTTACTTCACATTTGTGGTGATACAACAGAAATGATCTTATACATAAACCTAAACATACTGCTTTCACAGGCTCCTAAGTCATATGAGAGCCTAAATCCCCTCTTCAGGAATTGATTTGGTACTTTGGAGCCCAAATCTCATCTGTTTTCAAAAAGGCTTACATTCATGAGCATTTTAGTTATATGTACTGCTTGAAGTCTCTGGGCAAAAGTGTCCGGAAGTTAAGTGCCATCTTTCAATAGATTCATTCTGTTTGCCCTGATTAAAATTGAGCCAGGCTTGGGTCTTACTTATTCTTGTAACGGACATTATATAATTTAGCAGAATTGAGATTAGTGGTACATACAAGCTACAGAGAGTGATTAATGAGAAATATTTTATTTGGTATTACTGATAGCAAAGTAATTTGGCAAATGAGTATTAACCCGATTCTGAACGGGATATGTATACGGGCAGGTAACTGAGGGTGGTCTTTCCATAGCGTAGAATTTTTTGCTGCATGGCTTTCCTTTCAAAAAGCAAATCAAAGATTAGTATCAGTCTCTGAAGTGACTATTTTCAGATCTGTATCTTCTTTGATTTTTGTTTTGTTTTGTTTTGTTTTGCTTTCCCCAGCTAATTACAGGAGTTCAGCAGGCGACAGAAAGACACAACCAAGCTTTCATGGCTCTTGAGGGCCAGGTCATATCTAAAAGATTACATGCCAGTATTAGAGAAAAAGCAGGTCACTGGTTCGCAACAACCACTCCTATCATTGGGAAAGGAATCATGTTTGCTGTGAAGGAAGGCCGTGTAACCACTGGCATTTCCAGCATAGCCACTGACGAGAGCAGAAAGATTGCCTCTGTCCTTAACAGTGCTCACTACCTGGAAAAAATGCACTACAGCATCGAGGGGAAGGACACCCATTACTTTGTCAAGATAGGCTCGGCTGACAGCGACCTCGTCACCCTCGCAATGACCAGCGGGCGGAAGGTCCTGGACAGTGGGGTCAACGTCACCGTCTCCCAGCCCACTCTCCTCGTCAATGGGAGGACTCGAAGGTTTACGAATATTGAGTTTCAGTACTCAACCCTGCTGATCAACATCCGCTATGGCCTGACCCCCGACACGCTGGACGAGGAAAAGGCGAGAGTGTTAGACCAGGCCCGGCAGCGGGCCCTGGGGTCAGCTTGGGCCAAAGAGCAGCAGAAGGCACGGGATGGCCGAGAGGGCAGCCGCGTATGGACAGACGGAGAGAAGCAGCAGCTTCTGAACACGGGAAGGGTTCAAGGTTACGAGGGATATTATGTCCTGCCCGTGGAGCAGTACCCAGAGCTAGCAGACAGTAGCAGCAACATCCAGTTTTTAAGACAGAATGAAATGGGAAAGAGGTAACAAATTAACCTGCTGTCATCCTTTGCTGGATGAATCAGTAGTCATAACTGTTATCTCCTCTCCTAAGGAGATGAAGACCTAAATGGGGGCACTAGGCTGAGCTACTCTGGGATAGTAAGTGGCAAAAAAGCTCATATTTTTTGAGTTAAATGCTACTGTTCAAGTGATTAAAAACCACATCCTGAAGTGGACTAAAGCCAGACTGAAAACTCTAACCATACAAATTAAAAAGTACCCCTGAAATATTACCCACTTGTTCTGGGTCTAAAGAAAAACAAAAAGAAGGCCTCGTATTGTATTACCTCACTCCATTCACACGTGAGCAAACTAAGAAATCCAAGTGGGCCGCATTCACTAACCAGCTGATGAAACACAGATGATTCAGACTGCTTGTTTGATAAATATCCAAGAGGTTTTCATTTAAAGCAAAATACAGGTGCATTTAAAACATGACTTTGGGGTGATTTGTGTGTAGCAACTGGAGGACAATGAGAATGCAAGTGAGAGCGCACTGGAAATAGTAAAGAAAAATATATTTAAAAGTAACAAAACCACACTTGCACTCTGACCCTCCACTTGTCTGGCCTGAAGCTTAACTTATTCAAAGAGGGCAGAGTGTAAAGTTACATTCAAAATGGTGGCTATAAATCACTACAAATAAATTTCATACTCTGTTTGTCTTTGAAGATTTCCATTGTGGACAGTATAACACAGTTACAGGGTGTAGTCTGTTTAGATTCAGTAGTTTGTTGGTATCAGTTCCAGTAGAGCTGTGGGCATTGTGTTACACTATTGCAAATGGGCACCACGTCAGATCACCCTGTACATACATCAGCCAGAAGGCACAATCACTGTTTCAGATTTAAAAATTATTAGTGTGTTTGTTTGGTCGAGAAACTGAGACAATCACATTACAGTCACCACGGGAAAAAAAAAAAAAAAAAAAAGAAAAAAAAAAGAAAAAAAGTCTAATAAGAACTTTGGTACAAGAACTTTTTTGTAATATACATGTATGAATTGTTCATTGAGTTTTTATATTAATTTTAATTTGCTGCTAAGCAAAGACTAGAGACAGGCAAAGATAATTTATGGCAAAGTGTTTAAATTGTTTATACATAAATAAAGTCTCTAAAACTCCTGTGAATTACTTGTCTTCCATTGTGAAATCTTTTAAAAATGAAAAAATATTAGTGTCTCACTGTGACCTAATGCAGGCAGCACGTTGAAATGACTTGCTGCTGTTGTACCGTGGATTCTGCAGAGGGCTGGTCATTTGATCTCTGGGTAAGCGAAGTGTTACGTACACATCACCCAAAACTCTGCTTAGGACGCAGCAGAAAATGGGTAAGTGCTTTAGAAATTCCCTCAGCACCTCATGACTAGCAACCCTCAAACTGCCATGTTTCAATCCCTGGAATTAGTTTAATTACACTAAAGGACCATCCAAACAGCTTGAAAATGCAGTAACGTAATATTAAATGGAACATGGAAGGCCGTGCTGTGAGCCAGGAAGTCTCCACGAAATCTGTCTTCTTTGGGAGATTGCCTCTCTCTACCACATGTGAAAATTGGAGGTAAGATCAAAGACTCTCTCCTAAGCAAACAGTCATTCCTGATGATGTTAAAAGGGAACCATTCATCAACCAGAGCCCTGCTGCTTTTATCTCATTTAAGTATGTGGCTAGGGAGCTCTACTTAATTCTGAGAACAGTTTTGCTTTTGGGGTTGCAAATGAGGTTTTTAATGATTCATGATATCGACAGAGATGCTCGAGTTGATTATGGGCATTAATTCACTCCAGGGCATTTTGAAAGCAGAACAGTTCAGTGGCTGTGTTGTGTAACACCTCTAGCACTCAGAAAGTGCCTCTAATTTTTGCTGTGCAAACAAGAGCCGTCCTGCTCCGGCCGCAGCGTTACACCGGTGTGGTTGCCCTGTGCAGCACATGCGCTGGAACCCCAGGCCCTGTCACTCACCCTCTGAAGGATGAGTCTGGCGTTTTTTCAGATGAAGTCCTGTATGTCCATCACTGCAGATACTCTTCAGTGCTGACAGACTTTAAGTGCTGTTACATTGCCAGACTGTTCTTTACCAGTGAAACCTCGTAAAGAGTTATTGTTACCTTTCTTTGATGGAGGCATAAAACATGAAATCACAAGGCAGAGACACTTTTCATTATCACAGTTTTTCTGGATTACACTTGCACTGTTCTGGTAAGCCTCTCGGGTCATTTTTTGGAATGGAATTTTTCTTGCAGTTGAGAGGGTTGAAATGGGAATCTGTTGCACAGTCCCTGGTGTCCTTAATTCTGTTACCTTTCTCCTAAAGCTGAAACTCTTCAGAATTAGAGATTCTGCTACTTCAAGAGGAAACTCAGTTAAACTAAAATTGAAGTACACTTTTTGATATCAATTACTGTGGAAGGAGATGTAATGGGGATGCAGGGGATGCAATCCCTACCCAGCTCCTTTGCAAATGACATATACATCATCAGGATGTTCTTAAACAACACAGCTTTTGAAAGTGGTCTGGTCACGCCAGTTAAATACTCACTAGAGACCATTTATCCAGGGCTAGATTTGGTTTCCAAAGTCTGTGTGCAACTTAGCACAGATCCCCTGGAAAGCCCCAGCAACACACTTGAGCTCTTAGATCCAACTAACTGCTGTGCTGCACCTGACCAAGGTCATTCCCAGCCCTGCTCTCGGCTCTGCCACTGCGCTTTCTTTGCGCTTCCATACAGAATCCCTGCTGCATTTAACAGTGTCTCTACGTGGGCAAAGTATCCCAGCCCGTCCTTTCGGCAGGTAAACTGCAGAGAACCCTTCCGTGGTGCATCAAAGAGACTGGAAGAATTACTGTGTACTGACAAAGAGCTAGATGCTGTCATGTCTGGAAAAAAACCAGCTGACTGTTAGAAGCCATACTAAAGAGCTTTTCACTTAACGACTGGGGGAGGTCACTGGACTGGTGTGGCTGGCCATGGCCAACCGCCAACTCTCCTGTGGTCCCATCTGAGTTTCCCCTGTTTCCTGAGGTATCTTTTTCTCCCTTTTCCTTTCTACAACCCTCCCTTTCCTAGCTCCCCTCAAATTGGTATGTCCTGTTCCTCTCAAAGCTCTTGCTTTTCCTCACTCCTCCTTGCTACACTTTTCTGTACGCAGTAGGTGATTAACCTAAAGCAACGCCAAGGAGACTTGACGTGGGGTCCTTCTTACGGGGCAGTAGTTAAGTGGTGGCTTTACCAGTGACATTGTGGCTGTGTCCCCAACGGTGCCGTGACCAGGACAAGCGGAGGGCAGCCGTGTAAGAAGCGCTCCTCGCTGTGGGAAGGCAGAGTGCCTGAGCCCAGGCCAGCCAAGAGCTACGAAGGCAGCTTTGCCCTTCTAACTCGCTCCAGCGTAAGCTGAGGGCTCTGCACAGTGAACACAAATTCAAGAACGGGCCGCTGAAGCCCAAACCAGAGGGAGAATCAGCATTGGAGCACAGTGCCTTTTCTTCCTGTTGGATTTGCTGTACTGAAGGAACTTGGTATTCATAACCTTGCAGTTCAGCTTGAAAAAACTGGTTTTCTTCCCGACCTAGGCCAAAGCCTGGGACCCGGCTGTCGGTGCAGGCGCGGGTCTGGGCACACGCTGCTCCTCCCCCCCACCGCTGCGGTGCCGCTCAAGGCTGCGCTCCACGGCATTTTGGGCGCACGATGGCAGTTCTGCCTGAGACGCTCGGGGGTACCGACCTTTGCTTCCTTGCACTGCCTTGGCCACGCCAGTCCCCCGGCAGTGCCAGTCAGCCTGCCTTAGTGGCCTCGGTGTGTCCCAAATAAAGGCACCAACAGAAGCTCCTCCAGCTTTAGCCGGGCCAGACCGATGCATTCGCAGTACTCTCGTGGGGAAGGAAGCATTTAGACCCTTTTTTTTGTTTGCTACCTGAAGTGCAAGGGCTGACGCACACCCGCTGGGCTCTGAGGATGCGCAGAGTGTGGGACCCTGGCTCTGGTATTGTTAGTTTTCACCTCCTATCCCTTAGGTTCGGTAGCCTCTCAGAAGTTCCCTGCCAGAATTAATGTGCCAACCGCATTCTGCCTTTGTAATATTACCCTGTAAGCCCCTGATTTTCACATGGCCCATGCTCATCATTGCTGTAAAAGCAGAAGAGCTTGATATCCCTCATCTGCCCTGGACATGACCATAGCACCTCCTCCCAAGGCTCTCTCATGTTTGTTGTTCAAGAGTTTCCTGTGCAAACAAGCATCAGCCTTCCCCAGGAATCAAAGAAAACCACATCGGAGTTGAGTGCCATTGAATAATTTGCCTTAACTGCTTTGTGCTATAATTTCTGTCAGGTCGACCCTTTTGCCGACAGTCTTGCAAACACTTCTAAAGCACTCAGTGATGATTGATCATGGGAATGTGTTTGACATTCGGCTTTGAGGCCACAGCCCTAGGAAACTCAAAAGGTAAAGTTTCCGTAACCCTATCGTACTGTCCTGTGTTCATCTGGTGAGCTTGCATGAGAACCACAGGTTAAGGTCAGTCATCTGCTCAGGTGGCCTTTATTTTAACTGTGCATCTGTTCAAGGGTGAGATCTTACCTTACAAACTAAGGAAGGACGGCCTTAAAAGTCCTGCACCATCCAAACATTAAGCACAAGGCCCTTAATCTCAGGAAATGCAGATTTTACCTGGAAGATGAGACCTTCTATAGCTATACTATTTCTCAAAGAAGAACTAAGAGTAGATGTCCCTGGGCAATTTTGACTGTGGGAATGAGGAATGGGGCTTTACTAGCCAGTTGTAGAGTGTAACAGGCTCCCTGGCTTTAGCTAAGCAGGGTAATGGGGAGGCATCAGGACCCCTCTGCTTCTGAGCTGCCTTTGAGCTTTTCTGCCAACAAGGAAAGTTCCATCCCAGCCTCTTCAGGCACAGCCTGCAGCATAAAGGTTTCTTGTTTACAAGGATTACTTAGTTTAAGCCTTACTCATTGCATTTGAAGCCTGCCACTCCTCTGGAATCAAACTCACTTCTCCACCTCAGTGGCACCAAGCACTGAGGGCCACATGCTCACAGGAGAGTTTAAGGCAGGGTCATCATCCGCCACAATACAGTTGCTGAGGCAGCTGCAAAAGACTTTTTTCTCACCAGATCTCTGAATTAGCAGAGAGAACTTACAGCCTTACGGTCACTTTCAGCCCATGGAAAATAGTGAAGGAGTGCTCTAGCCGGTGGCTCCATCGGGCAGAGGCTGCCACAGAAGTGACAACCAGGACTGTTGGTAGGTACCAGTATACTTACATTATATGTTGTAACTGCTTCTTTGGGTCCATAATGTCTAAACAATTCTCTGTCCCTTGCCATGTATGTCTGCCATCTCCCTAATAAACATAGTTTTATGCAATGCTTGAACATGACCAAGAGCTCTAGAAAGGCAAATTCTACTGCCAGTGTCAAAGCACAAACTCCCCTCTGTTGATACAGCCTTTTCTGCTTCTGCCTAACCCAATGCAGCAGTGCCGGGCAGATCTAGGGTCGCAGTCACAAACTGTGTGTGTCTACGGTCATCTGACGGGTGATTACCTGAGCAACTAGGAAGAGCACGTGGTATTCAACAAGCAGCCAAGACTGGTTCACACAACAGTCCTCACAATGTGCGTTGCAGCACCCTCACAACGGCACCCACCGCTCTAATGGGCTAAGCTGGTAATTCAGTCTCAGCTGACCGAGAGGGCACTGTGTCAGCTCAGCCTTCCCACCACCACCACCACCAAAAATAAGCAAAACCCAAGAGGTGGAGGCACCGCTGCGATGTGCTCAGGCACCCCAGTCAGGCATTCAGCCAGATGACCCAGGCAAGGCAGCAGCTTGGCAGAGAAGGCAGGGACTTGGCCCTCCCGGCCTCTCCCCCACATTGTTTGGGCGGTTGCCTGTGAGCATGCTGCGTGCTGCAGCCTGGTCAACTTGTGCAACCACCGGCCCCTACAGCCGCTTCCTCACCTTGGGAACGCGGGGTTTGCATCAAGGCAAGAGCCAGTGCCCCAGCAGGTGCCTTGCACCTACCTGTGTGCTTCAGTTCACCCGCAGCTCAGCAAGTGCCACCAGCCCTGCCCAGACTTCCCTGCACCTCCTGTGGCGAGAGGGAGGGTGTTCC